TACTAAATTGTTAATAATTTTTGCAAGCCCCAAATATCCACTTTAATATTTTTTTCTAGATGACATTACGAATTGAATGAACCAAAACCATAAAACTATGTGGCTGAAGTTTCGTTTGTTGGTTTTAAAGGTTTTCGTAAAATTTCGTTTATTGACTAGATAATGGTTATGGCTTCCGTGGCTTCCGAACTAGAATGATAGTGTTATAAAATTTTGATTGAAAACATTTCTCTTACTAGTAAAGTAACCGCTTTCTTACATAAAATTAATTTTTGATCTGATAATTTCAGTAACACAATGAGTCGTTAGTTAATATCGAAAACTATGTTCGTTAGTTAATATCGATTAATTTAACTATTAAGACTCATACGCATAAACAAATACTCTACATTTTATTACGTTTTACAAAATATATCTTTATTATTGTGTTAAGAAAGTCTGGCACCCGAGGGTTGCAGATGTGATGACAACCTTTTGAAGATTGGGCTCCACGGTCTCACTCACCAGACGAAACGCGAAAGTATTTGTTATACTTCCAATTTACTCCGGTCTTCTGTAAGATCTTACACGGACGAGCCTGCACATTCGTGCAACAGTCGAGGCTGCTGCGTGGTCCAACCACAGTTTACGTGGGCTGTACTGAACAAAGAAAATTTATTTTTGACCAAAGTCAAGAGAGAGTGTTAGCTGACTAGAACTAATCGGGTAACTGCTAAAAACGCTGCCACGACACATATCGAAGATATAGCCATTGTCACAATAGACCGTACTCCGTGTGTGGTCTATTTTTTCATATGTTCTCCAGACATTTACTTTTGACTGGTTTTTCATTAATTTCACTTATAAAGATAAGTACCTATATGAAAATAATCCCAATAAGATTGTCACAAATTTTCAACACACTGTGTAAGAGAAGCTTTCACTGCTATGAATAAGTAGTAACTAGTAGTACAGAAGTTAAATGTCTACGAATTGTAATATCTTTACCAGAATTATTACCTCATGATGTAAGAATACCGATTTGTTTAGCTTGATGACTCCGTGGCGCAGGTGCTAAGGTATGGGCTTCGGCGTCGGGGGTCGTGGGTTCAATTCCCACACGGAACAACTATTTGTGTGACCCCCAGATAGTTGTTTCGCATCTGGGTGTTTGTCCACGTGAAATTTATGTTTGTGAAACGTCCTTACAACACAGCCTAGTGTTATCTTAAAGTAAGGGCAATGTCTTTTAAAAAAAATAACGAGCACTCGTTTTTATGATTTTTAAATTATATTTTTTGCAGATTTTTGATGAACTGAAAAGAAGATATCTATGATACCTCTGATATAAGATGATGCCTATGAACAGTTTATGGCTTACAGTTTATTTGCTAAACTATTATGTTACTAAGAGAATTGGTTTACATTTAAATGAAAAACGTTAAAATGTTTTTATGTTGTATGAATCTTTTATTTGATATTCTGTATTCACGAAGCTCCATAAATACATAAAATCTCAGGTTTTGTCTGTAAGAATAATTTTTTAATTTTAACATTTACATAAATCAATATAATTTTTTTTTAAATTATAAAAGTGGAACGAGAGTTTTTTTTTAATTCATTGATCTAACAGAGAGATCATTGATAGTTCAATCTCAAAATCATTGCCTGCGTTAATTGTTGTTTGTTGTTTGTAAATTGTGAGCGTCAGTGAATTTTATAATCAAGAAATATTGCATTTCTTTGGAATGTTTACAGTTGTTAATTAGCATATGAGAAGAATGATTACAATATTTTAATTGCAGAAAAGTGTGTTCATAAAATGGCTTAATGATAAATAACGACTATTCAAAATATGACATAATCTTGTATTGGTATTAACTAATTGGAACATCATTTTTGAAAAGAATATTTTGTAAAAGAATGTTTTCTTTATTCTGCCTTATACTATAGTTAAATACCAACTAATTAAAAATTCAAAAATAAAGAATATAAGAATAAGCGCGCGTGTACTTCTCTAACCCTAAACGCAAACTCAAATTACCAACGGTGTTATTTCATTATCTGTCAAGTTTTGATAAGATTGTGTCAAACTTTTTTAGCAACTAAAGTTTTAAGAAAATAAATATATATTTGAAAATGTAATTTCAGCTATAAAAAAAATAAAAAAATAACTATTTTTACACTATTATTGTGTATACAGGGAGGCTTTTCTAAATGTATCCATTTTTTTATTAAATTCTAGACATAAATAATGTTACATAAAAAATGATAAATATTTTTTTAAATTGTGATTTTTCACTCGTAATGCATTAAATACATTTATTTGAACTTATCTCAAAAAGTGCGTGATTTATGGGCAACTCATTTATTGTACGCGCGATCATTCATAACTAACACACACACAAGTTCGTGAAAAGTATACGACGCATTTATGAATGACTATCACATTGTCAACAACTTCTGTTTTTTAGGGAATGTAATGGTAATGTTTTGAATAAAAAAAATTGGTTTTATTTCAATAAATGATTATACTACCTAGTCTGAACCTACTGTGTGAATTTGGGCACCTTTAGAAAAGCTACCCTGTATATAATAATTACGGATTACAAATCGGCGTGGGGGGTCCTGGGTTTATTCCCAAACGGAAGTACTATTTGTGTGACACAGATAATTGTTCCCCATTTGGGTTTTTGTCAACGTGAAATGTATGCTTGTAAAACGTCCTTACAATACAGGATAATGTTATCCTAAAGTAAAGTTAATGTTTTTCAACGGTTTTATTTAGCTCGACCCGTACGGAATTTGTTTGTTTATTTGGGTCAAAATTAGAAATTGAAATTTAAGCACCTTCCCGTTGTCAGATTGATCTGAAATTTGGTACACACATTTAATTTACATGACAATACAATATTGTAGTTTTCAGTGCACATAAAATAAAACCGTTTAACTTTAAAGTTTTTAAACGGTTTTATTTAAAAAAAAGAACAGTGTTTGTTTTCTAGAACTTTTACTTCGTTTAATTGTATATTAATGTTAAAGTAAAGGAAAAGTAAAATATACTAAGTGAAAGACATACACCAAGAAACATTACAGTATTTACGAGTATAATCAAAAGACACATGGGTACAACAGGCGGCCTTATCGCTTAAGCAGCGATCTTTTCCAGGCAACCTTAGGGCAGAGGAATTCATTAAAAGTAGAAAGTGGCAGGGTATAACTAAATAAACAATAAGAAAGTATATAAGTACATAGAAATATATAATATTATGTACATATAATCAGAAAATAATATGTAAGGGACGACAGAAAGATAAGAGGATAGTTAATGAAATTTTAATTTAGTTTTAAAAATGTTAAGAGATTTAGATTGTTTAATATCTAAGGAGAGATAATTCCAAAGAAGCATAGAAGGAAGAGGAGTGACTAGGAGTACTAAGCAGAAAATTATGAGAACGGAGAGAAAAACAGTGTAAATCATTTAGTTAGATAAATCGATCCTTTAAATAACGAGGAGTGGTAGGATTGAACAGAATGCAGTAAAGAAGATGAAGAACATAAGTATTCCTGCGAAGGCGAATCGGGGGCGAATTGTTTATTGACGAAAAACAACACAATTATGATGGGTCAAAAAACTAAAATGTCATTTGAACAACACTGACAATATCGTACTTATGGTTATGCCTCTTTAAAGAGGAAAATATTTAAAAGATCAGTCTGTGTCTTGTCTGTGTATGTATTTAACTATGGTAGGGCCACGTAACAGTTTTCAATATTGCACGAATGGGCAGGTCCGTCCGGGTAAGTACCACGACCTCACAGAAGACTGGCGTAAAGTAGAAGTGTTACATATATATATTTGTAGAAAAAGTATGAAAAGATTGTCGCCGCTGTGGGAATCGAACCCACTTCTTCGGCATTCGCGGCCTGAAGCTTAAGCCATTAAGCTAAACGGCTGATTGTCTCACCGACGAAAATCTTAACGTCTTTTATCTACATTGTTTTCTAGCATTTGAAGCAATGCTTAGCGCATCCATTCTAATTCACCTTAAAAAAGGGACCCTCCCTTTTTCACCTTTTAAGGTACGGAACCCTAAAAACTTAATAATGCGATACAGTTAAGTCACTCTACAGTGCAGCCGAACCTTCGGCAAATGTTTGGCGGAAACCGAAATTGTTTCCGAAACTATAATTTTCGGCCCAAATGGTCCAATACTTCGGCCGGATACTAAATGGGGCGAATGTCTATGAGCGGCGGTTATCACTTAACATCAGCTCGCTTGCCACCTTCTCACATAAAAGAAATCAAAACTAAAGTTAAAATGTAGAGATTTTAATTTGAGTTACCTATAATTTTCTATACTAGTTACTCGTACTTTTAATTGAATTAATTTATTCTTTATAACTGTTTATTGTCTTTTTTATTAAATAAGTGCCAACAAATGCATTACAAGTTCATTTAAAACATGTGAGGCAAATTTAATTGGAAGTGTAAACGAGAGGTTAATTAGTTTTGAACAAAAAAAAAAGACGCTGGAATGGCGGAAGTGTTTTATTTTAATATCACGAAAATTAACTAAGAATGTACAGTCTACTTACGCGCTGAAGTATTTCACTATTTACGACAAGTTATTAAGTAAATAGTTGCGAATAAAACCTTCATAATGCGTGAACTCATGCGACACACATAGAAAAAGCAAATGCCTTGCTGAATGCTCACTGCCATGTGTTACACACATACTTACATTTTGTTTGTGATCATTGATGACCGAATCCGGGGAGCCGGAATATCGACATCGCATGTTTGCCGCCATTTGACATTACGTTAGATTGCCGAAGCCGGGAGAAATGTATAAAAGAATTGGCACCGAGCATTAAGGCATCAGTCGCTCATCTGGTAGCAACGGAACTAAACTAAACTCCTCAACCATGAAAATGGTAGGTTATAGGTTTCATTACACGGAGTCTTAAATATTAACTTTTTTTTTCGTTCTCTCAAATAACTGTGATATAATTTGCAGATGATTGTTGTCGCCCTTGCCCTCGTGGCCGTCGCTGTCGCCCGTCCAGCGACTGAACCCGAACCCCCAAAAATCCTGCGGTCGGACTTCAACCAACAACCCGACGGCGCTTACAACTTTGGGTGAGTGTTCTCTTCAATTTTTCCCCCTAAAAGCTCATGACTTCCTAGAAAGAGCAAGTGTAACGTCATTTCAACTAAATGTCCGGGATTGGCTTCAAGTTTAATTATTTTTCATCCAATCCCTCCTATATTAAATTGTGGATACAATTTGGTAAATATAGAATATTGAAATATAGGGATGCATGGATGTGCGCACATAATAAGATTTTTTCAAACCTACGCAATGTTTGAAACAAGTTTTTATAAAACAAGTTGTATCTAAGGAAAGTGCCTTTTTTATAGGCTTTGTACTAAAATGTTCACTATTATTTTGAACACTTTAGATTTGAAACTGAGAACGGCATCAACCGTGGCGAGACTGGTGAGGTAAAAGAAGTTCTGGACGAGGAAAAAAAGCCACACAACGTCGTAGTTGTCCGTGGCACTTACTCCTACACCGACAAGGACGGCAAACTTGAGTCGATTACCTACTACGCTGACGAGAGCGGCTTCCACGCTGAAGGCGACTCCATCCCCAAGAGCCCCGCCGCGAGGAGATAAGCTCTTGAATATCAACGCATCACTATGAGTAACCGATTATACACAAATATATAGAAATCGGTTAAACATGGAACCAATTTATTGTTTGCCATACGGGATATGCGCCGAGGCATCCGTCGCACGTCTTTTTTGTTATTCGTTTTAACACTGATGCTCACTGCCATATTTTTGTACGTTTTTTTATATTGTTTGTTGAGTTGATATGCAATCCGTATAGTGAATAAATTTCATTTGAAACTACTTATTGGTTTTTTTGCGCCTCGGTGTATCCTTAACAAACGTCCTTGAGCGGCGAGACGGGCACATTAAATAAAGATGTTGCCCAATATTGTACCTACACATAATACTAAAGCTACTTTGATAATTTGATGCGCAATAGATTTCTGAGCATAACACTCGACATTTAAGAGAGAAAGTGCCCCAAAATATTTTTATTACCATTATACGTTTAGTAGTGACAAACACAGGAGGAAGCCATTATAAGTGTACTGAAATATAATGTAGTTATGGTGTTGTTAAATATAATTACATCCCTATTACAATATGAATATGAAACAGATAAAATAATAAAAAAGTTAATTGGACGGTCAATAAGACGGAAATGAGTTATTCATACAAATATAGTAAGGTAAATTAGTGATATTCAAACTATATAGTAATATTAGCAGTATCGTAACATTTGAATATTCATAATTTAAATTATATTTTTTATAAGTGATGAGATATCTTCAATAGATTTCATGGATGGCTGGATCTCAGTAGAAGGTAATTCTTAAAATGCTAACCATTAATACTTTAAATCCTTGATAAAGGACCTCGAATCAATGTCCAGATATTAATTTTAAACATTACGATAAGTTTATAAAAGAATAAAAGATGAAAAATAGTTCAGTTCATTATCTGTTATCACACGTAAGGACATAATATCATATTGTTCAAACCTTTAAATCGATGCCCTTACCTAGGTCAAGATAGCTATACGATGTCTCTTATCAGAGAGACTGAGATGTGCTATAATGCTATAATTCTAATACATTGGCAAACTCTAGTCCGTTACTTTATAACTTATAATAGAAATGTAATGATTGCAATTAAAATATTTGATAATTGCTTGCTCTTATTGGTGTTTGATAAAGCCAAAAATAAAAATAAAAAATGTGATTAGAAATTAATTTCTATAGTGATAAAATCCTATGAGCGCGATTGTAGAGGAAAATGTAACAAATGGCTGCAGTATTCCCTTTCTTCGTTACAAGAAAGATCTTTCCGTGTATTGGGATATTTATTTGAAGTAAATGAATTCTTGCTGCATCAAAATTAAATAATATCCGCATATGAATTCCATATTATATGAGGTATTAAAGATTAACATTGCGTTATGATATTAATTAAAATGTCCCTAAATTATATTCCCTTGCTATTTTTTGGCCAATTTAAGAAATGAAACATGATTACCGATTTTTCAGCTGCAGTGATTTCTATATTTTTTTTATATTCAATCTGTATGTACCAACCATTCATTTGTTAATTTTGTAAGCACGAGGTCAGCGTTAAGTTTTATTTAAATTGACAAATAGCATACATGACTACAATTCCGAGGAATTGAAAAGTAAACATCATCCATTGAAGGTCGATTAAATGTCAAGATTCATTTGTCTCAATATCTATTGCCTTTTTTCTTAATTTCTGTCGTTGTACTGGTTAAATAGGCAATTAAATTAAAAAAAACACAAAGTGGTTTCTTGTAATGTTAATGTTTCGGCCATTTTTTATGAGAGTATATATATTCATATCACTTAAGTATCATAAGTCAATCATTCACATCATTTTCCTCTTATGATTAATTTAAATAGTGGAAAATCCAATAACTTCATTCCTAAGTTTTAAAAATTAATACAGTCTATTTTCTCTTATCATGAGGTTTCATTTTCATTTTTTAGGGTTCCCTACCCAAAGGGTGAAACGGGACTCCGCTGTCTGTCTATTTGTCTGTCTGTTCGTCTGTCACCAAGATGCATCTAGCGATGCGATGATAATTGGAGAGTTAAAATTTTCACAAATGATGTTTTTAAGTTGCCGTTATTACAACAAATACTAAACAACAGAATAAAGAAATATTTAAGTGAGCCTTTTATACAACAAGCATGTGTTTTTTTGAGCATTTTTATAGATAATGGTACGGAACCCTTCGTGCGCGAGTCCGACTCGTTCTTGGCCGGTTTTTACTGTTGTGGCAAGTTATAAAATTATTTGCATAATTTTAATGTGTATTGTAACCTTGAACATAATTTTTTAAACATTCAAAATATCCAGCCTCTGTGCACCATGACATAAAGTGACCTGTGATATTTTATAATATTTTATGTGAAACATCGTTTGACTTTTTAATAGCTTTTGAAGTAGTGAATTTTATGAAGATAAGGTATTTTTATATGGCTTTTTTGTCTAAACTTTTTATATAGTATAGCACTTTTGTCAAGTTTATTTGAGTTATGATTAAAGAAACCCCTGATGTAGTAAACCTTTCTTCCATTCGTTTGCTCTTTCATTCATTACGGTCAGGTAATTCCAGTTAAAATTATCGGAATTTGGCAAGTACCAATCACATTGATATTATTAGGTTTAATATTAATTAATGACAAATGCGAGGTTTCGTCTGTTTCGAAAAATATTGAGAGAAATCTCCGTTATGTTATAAAACGGGCCAAGTGCGACCACCATTATCTATGAAAACATTTAAAAAATCTGTTGTATGAGATCCTCAAATATTTTTTATTCTGTGTTTAATATTTATTATACGGCAGCAGAAATACATCATCTGGTCGTAGAGCTGTCCAGTGCTTTTTCAAGATAGGACTTTTCTCGTCGCCTAAGAAAATACCTCTGTCATAAATGTGTATCCTGTTATTATTTTTACCCTACTCCAACTGTATTTTTAAATCTATTTGCCTCATTGATATATATTCAATTTACATCTCCGCACGCGGAATTGCAAACAAATGAATTACTCGTACATGTACTGATTTCTGAAAACTACACCACATATTCAATGACATTTATAAAGTGCATTGAATAGAATACTTGACATTAAGTGAATGCGTGCAGCGCAAGTTAAATCGAATTAACAATAAAACTACTAATAAAATCCCAAAGTTCCAACATGATATAGGCGATTGTCCAATCCTTGTTTTTACCGTAACCAGAGCGTAAAGAGTTATTCTCTCATAAAGCATCTCTGTTGCATCCTTATTCTTAAGTTGAATACTTTGAATCGTTGAATTTAGGGCGCCTTGATAGTTATCAACGTTATGAATATTAAAATCACATTATATGAATACAAGGAATATTTAGTATGTTAAATGGATTGATTTCGTATGTTTTTTTTTAAGATGGCAATCGAACTGGTAGTATACCTGATGTTAAGAGATAACCACCCCCCATGGACGTTTACTACAACCCTTAGGGTTGCAGATGCGTTGCCACCGCCTAATAAACGCAGAAGTACTTCCACTTCACGCTGGTTTTCTGGGAGGTGGTGGTACTTCCCCGGACGGGCCTCGAGCACGTGAGCGAAGACTGTAGACCAGTACACAGATAAACAGGGTAAACAATCAGTATTTTCCATATAACTATGAAAACATATGTATTGGTTACCATTTCAATAATAATAAGATAGTAGTTTTATAAGAAACTGTTCGCATGACTTAAGAACTAAAGTGACATATCCCAGTTCGTTTTTAATTTTATATATGTAACAACTTTTTGAATTTACCATCAACATTGTTAACATAATCGACATTTCATTAAGCTGGAAATTCAGAGCTGGCCTTATGACGCCGAATTTACAAAAGTAATGATCTCTATTTAGGATCTTTCTAAAAGATAAAATAAGCCTTATAAAATATTACTGTTATCGAAATATTTCGTAGGACCATTTTTAAGTTGTTTCCTAAACAACCATAGATCGGTGGGAGCGTTACTAAGCTGTTGGCTTCGGTGTCGGGGTCCTGGGTTCGATTGCCACTCGATAAAGGCAGGATTATGATGATGATTATGATGGTGTTTCTTTAGTAACACTATATTTTAGGTGTTTTTCGGATGGATAAATATTCAACAGTAAAGAGAGGCGTGAAGTTAGGGAAAAGGATCTTAGTCCATCGCAAAACCGGCTTACCATAATAAAGAGGGCTTGACCCCTTCGTAAGCACAAACTTCGACCGAAGTCGCGCATGTCAAAGGGTGTAAACGTCATACAAGCCGAGGATAAATCCAGCTTCTGTGAATATACGTCATACGTTGAGAGCACATGTCTAGTATAGTCGGGTACTCTGGCTTTGAAATAAGCTTTGAAAAAATCCGTAAGCGCCACCACTTTGCCAGATCGCCGCGAAAGCAGACTTAATGTTGGTGTTCGTTTAGGCTTCACCGCCAAATACAAGGTTTGCACGGCAAAACAGCCGCTGAATGCGTTGTGATGTCTGATGGTCAATCTCAAGGGTCCTACGTTGAGTGGCTTTGGCCGCAGCCTTGAGTCTCCGCTAGTCATCAGTATATACATGTCCCACTGCTGGGCAAAGGCTTCCTCTGTACAGAGAGAACAAGGGGAGTACAAGTGCATAGTGCAAAATATACAGCTTTCCTCATGATGTTTTCCTTCACCGCCAAGTGCCGTGACGAGTCAACACTTAAAATTGTTTTATTTTTTTGGATATAAAGAATTTTATTGGATATAAAGAATCGAACTGCTCGATTAAAATGAAATCAAGACGAGCGCCCGGACTGAGCTATCACGGCTCATTTTATGTTATTAAATAAAAAATTAGGGAGTTCAATAAGTCTTCAAGCCTGTCATCGCGCAAACCGACTTGTACTTATCTACTGAAATGTGAATCAAACTGAGACGCAAACACCTTTATGAATAGCGTTGTTTCCAAGCCACCGCCGTAAGTCGCAGTGCCGTTAAAGGCAACATGCGTCTATACGATTATCGTTGATCA